TATATTATTATTATATATATATCATATAGTAATATATCTATATATATTATGTATATATTATATATATATATATATATGTGTATATATATACATACATATATATATATATATATATATATATATATATATTTATATATATTTCATACACATAGATATCCAAGACATAATAGACTATCACCTTGTTCAGGCCGCATGTATCAGTTTTTCTTTCTGAATATGCTGGGGATTGATCTAGCGGTTACTGTTAAAAGGGGATCGTATTGAGGTAGTATATGTTTTAGTTTCAAGTCGTTTGTTTTCATTGGAATCTTTCAATGGGGAACCTCTTAGCACAAAGTAGCACGAGAGCCTGAATTGTTTGCCTGTTCAGAAGTTGTTTATCGCGGACATTGATGCTCTTGTGAAGTTGCTCATCATATAGAATGCTCTTCATTTTAGCAATGGGGTTGGTGGACAATTGTATGTGATATGAAATAGTCCTTCGTGGGAAAAGCAGAACGCGATTGCACTTATATATTCTCATCGATGTTATTCAGTATAGCTACATTTCAAATTCCTATGGCATGCACCAGTACATATACAGATGAAAGGTTACCTGCAGAGCATAAATTGGTTGGAAACTTGAAACTTGTGGCGCTTTCGCATAACTTTTGTTGCTTTTTAACAGCTGGACTCGTAGTCTCAAACCTAATGCATATAATGCATGTGATCACAATGAGATCTCACGCAATTTAATTGATCTTGAGTTCGTTAATTGTCGTGTATGGCTCTCCAGGTAGCTGACGTTCTGGCAGAGTTCCTACCTGTTATCAACGGTACTGCTATGGTGGCGGTGGGTGGCACGGAAACGGGTGATGATCTAAATCATTTCAATGAACATGGAGCACATGTTGTGATCGCCACGCCGGGACGCATGGAAGAGCTTATGCGGCGGTCACAGGCGATGAATCTGAAGGTATATCCTAACTCGCCGAAGAAGCTTCAATTTAAAGCGAGACCGGTAGTAATCTATCTATTCTTGGACATGCTGACAATATTATAGCCAGGCTTTGCTATTCTCTGAAGTGTATTTCCGATTATCATTTTGTCTGGTTTGCACTCCTTCCCGTCTCTTTTCTGTGTGGTTGCATGACTCTAATTGTTTTCATCGAAACGCTCAGGAATTGGAAATTCTAGTGCTAGACGAAGCCGATCGTTTGTTGGATATGGGGTTTGAAAAGTCCATCAATAATATTTTGAAGCAATTACCAAAACAAAGGAGGACGGGTCTGTTTTCAGCTACTCAAACGCAACAACTGGATCAGATCATTCGTGCCGGATTGCGCAACCCTGTGCGAGTAAACGTGAAGGTGGATTTTATAGCTTAGATTTTGTCATCTGTTTTCCCTCCTATCTTTTTCTAGTCAGCCGCAGTTATACATTTTGAATGGAATAATATTCCATGCGAGGTACCGTTTTTTAATTTTATTTTATCCAATTAAGTGACATTTCTTGAAATCTTCACATATTGATGTCAAAGGTCACAACGGGGACCAATACTCTCAGAAGAAGCACGGCCACGCCGGTGTCCCTTAAAAACTTCTTCATGGTTTGCGGATACGAAGATAAACTATCCCAATTGGTCGCTTTCATGGAAACGCACATTGATGAAAAAGTAATCGTGTACATGAACACTTGTGCATGTGTGGACTACTTCCATAGTCTCCTCGGTGGCATATTTACTAGGCGAAAGGTGCGTGTATACTTTTTGCATCTAAGTCTTCACTGTGTTAAAGGTTTCGTTTTAACTATTGGCATTGTCCGACCCATCGTCAACTGCTCGGTCAATCCATTGGTTGGTAAACAATATCGCATACTCATTTGAACAAATTGCATTTCCTAAATAAATTGCAGACCAGGATACAGTTACATTCACTTCATGGTAAAATGGTACATAAAAAACGCTCGAAAACATTCGAAGCGTTTAAAAACAGTGTTAGTGGGGCTTTGCTATGTACCGACGTGGCTGCTCGTGGTCTTGACATGCCCGATATCGACTGGGTAGTTCAATTAGATCCCCCCCAGGATCCCGATCAATTTGGTATGTCATTTTACGTTCGTCTCTGATAATCTGGAAAAAAAAATCCCCGTTTGTGGGTGTAGGACTGATGTGATTCTTTTTGGCATTTCAGTACACAGATGTGGCCGTACTGCTCGTCAAGGTCGAGTCGGTAGTGCGCTGGTGTTCTTGGCACCGCATGAGGACACATACGTTGCTTTCATGAGGAAACGAACTGTTCAAATGCACGAGATGAAGCTAGATCTGAATGCCGATGATGTCTTTAATACTGGCAGGGACGTTGCACTGCAGGACCGTAGTGTCTACGAGAAAGGGCTGACAGCATTTGTGTCATTTATACGATCATACAGAGAACACAAATGCTCAATCATCTTTCGAGTTCGCGATCTAGATATGTTGGGTATATGCAGGTCCTTTGCGCTGTTGACGTTGCCTCGAATGCCCGAACTCAAATCAGTCAGTCAGGGACGCACTTCGGGGACCACAGCAGACAGCTTGACAATCAGTGAGGCAGAAATCGATGTTCAAAAAGTATCGGATTGCAATACACCTCCCGGAAATGAAGAGGAAATCGAGAAACTGAATGAGGACCATGTTAAAAAGAGATCAGGGGAACAGTCTAATGTACTTACTGGATCGCACGTGGAGAATGCAACCCCGACTTATTTATATCCGCCATGCCCAGTAGATCCATCAACAATAGCATATAAAGATAAAAACAGAGAGGCGCAAAGGCAGCAGAAGTTGGTTATGGCATCGGCAAGGGGTGAACACGAGCATACGAAACGAAGGAAAAAATCAGAACAGCCTACAGCGTGGTCACAACAGAAGGTATGTGCTTGGTGTTGTTTTCGATCTCGCATTTTAACTGTGAGGAAACATCAAAATAATCGGCACTGCTATATGACTAGTACTAATACTTATTCTCGCAATGTCTAGGAACGGAAATTGATAAAAGAAAAGAGACGAGATATTAAAGCAAAGAAACGAGAGTGGCAACATCAGCAAACTTTGGCTGATGCTGCTGATGGTGAGTATTGGATTAGTACCTAATGTTTGTCATTTAGCTACAGAGGAAATGTTAATTCTGCATCGACATATATTGTACTACAATCCAAAGTGATACGAAGTTACTCGATTACATTGCCTGTGGCATTTGGTTATGGCAGTCGTGTGATTTTACCCGTGCATAGTTGATATATCTATTTGATAGGGTCTACTATCTACATCTCGATGCCTGCATGATGCACGTGTGTGTGCATGTGCATGGCTGTGTGTGAACGTAGATATCTATATATTTAAATCTATATCTATACGATGTATATATATTTATGCATATGTATATATATGTATATAAGTATGTATATCTGTATATGTATATATATATATATATATATATATATGTGTGTGTATGTACATCTATATATATAACTATATATATATATGTGTGTGTATGTACATCTATATATATAACTATATATATATATGTGTGTGTGTATGCGTGTGTGCATGG